CAACGGTCCACGTCAACGCCATCACGATGAAACGGGCTGTCGCCGCTGGAGCTGACGTGTACGCAGTGGATATAGCATTGGTAGGAGAAGCAGAGCAGCCGAGCGATTTTCAGAAACTGTTGGCAGCGGTACCGCCCGAACTACAGGAACTGTTGAAACGGTACCCGGGGATTTTTCCGGACGATTTACCAGAAGGACTGCCACCTCAGCGGGCACATGACCACCGCATAGAGTTAGAACCGGGGGCACAGCCAACTGTACAGCGACAATTCCGACTGACACAGCCAGAGCTCGACGAATTGAGGAAGCAATTAGATTACTTGTTAGAGAAAAAATTCATCCGACCGAGCTCGTCACCGTTCGCCGCACCGATACTGTTCACACCGAAAAAAGACGGGGGTTTTCGCATGTGTATCGACTACAGAGCACTGAACAGGGTAACAGTCAAGTCGCGATACCCCATTCCCCGCGCCGACGAACTGATAGATCAACTGCGAACAGCACGGGTCTTTTCGAAAATTGACTTACGCGGAGGTTACCACCAGATTCGGGTCGAACCATCGGACTGCGTAAAAACAGCATTTAGAACTAGGTATGGGTCATTCGAGTACACCGTGATGCCATTCGGGCTGACCAACGCACCGGCGACTTTTCAGATGACCATGAACGAGGCGTTTAGGCCGCTCTTAGATAAATGCGTGATAGTTTACCTCGACGACATCCTAGTTTACAGTCGGGATAAGCAGCAGCACTTAGCAGATCTGGAAGCAGTATTTAAGGTTTTAGACGAGCACAGATTACTGACCAAGGGTTCCAAGTGCGAGTTCTTCCAGGATAGGTTAGAATTTTTGGGGCACGTTATCTCGGAGGCTGGAGTTGAAATCGACCCAAAGAAGCTGGACACGGTAAAAGCGTGGCACCCCCCGACGAACATCACGGAGCTGCAGAGCTTTTTAGGGTTCGTTAATTATGTGCGTCGGTTCGTCCCCGATATGGCACGGTTAACTGCCCCACTGACGGATTTACTACGGAAGGGGGTCACGTTTACGTGGGGGGAGAAAGAGCATGCTGCCTTCTCTGCCCTGAAACATGTTCTCTGCTCACCACCCGTACTGCGCATCGCTGACCCACACCGCCCATTCGAAGTAGTTACAGACGCAAGCGACATCGCCATTGGAGCCGTACTGCTACATGATTTCGGCAACGGTTTACAGCCCATCGCATACGAGTCACAAAAACTGCATCCGCCCGACAAGAATTACCCGATACACGACCGCGATATGCTCGCGATCGTGCATGCATTCAAGGTTTGGCGCTGTTACTTGACTGGCGCAGACGTGACAGTACGGACAGATCATAAATCATTACAGTATCTCCGCGCACAGCCCCACCTCAACCCACGACAGATTCGCTGGCTCGATTTCCTCGAGTCAAACTTCCACTACACAGTCACCTACAAAAAAGGGGCATCGAACATCGCCGACGCATTGACCCGCCCCACTGCCCAGATCCATGCAATACTACTCGCCCAGACCAGCCCACTACTGACAGGCCTATTTACCCACGGGTACCAAACAGATCCATTCTTCACAGGAGGAAATTCGCAACAGTTCGCAGCAGCAAAAGGAGTCTATTACGTAAAAGCCGGGACCGACCGCATCTGGGTACCAGGGTACACACTGCTACGGGAATTACTGTTACAGGAGGCACACGACGGAGTTACCTCGGGACATTTCGGGGTAGAAAAAACACGGCAGCAGCTGCAGCGGTATTATTACTGGCTCGAAATGTTGACCGACGTTCAACGACACGTGGCATCGTGTCCCACTTGCCAGATCATGAAGTCATCACGGAAGCGGCCGGCAGGACAGTTGCAGCCGATACCACCCCCAGAGCGTGCTTGGCAGCAGGTGACGATGGACTTCGTCACGGGGTTACCGGCCGGAGCGAGTGGGAATGACGCGATCCTGGTCGTCGTCGATCGACTGATGAAAATGGCACACTTCGCAGCCTGCAAAAAATCAATCACAGCCGAAGAAACAGCCCGCCTCGTCATCTTTACCGTCGTTCGACTGCACGGGATACCAGCATCAATCATCAGCGACAGAGACACGAATTCACCAGCAACTTCTGGCGGAACCTGTGGCAGCAGTTCGGCACGCGACTACAGTTTAGTTCATCATACCACCCCGAAACCGACGGACAGACGGAACGGACAAATCAGACCATGGAACAACTCATCCGAGCCACGTGCGACGACCCGACCACATGGGAACAGCAACTGCCACTCATCGAATTCGCGTACAACAACTCACCCTCTGCCACGACTCAACAGTCACCATTTTACCTGAACTACGGTCAAGACCACAGTACCCATGACCCCGAATCCCGACAATCCAGTCCCACGCGCGCAACAGTTCGCAGAAATATTACAAGCAGCACGGACCCGAGCAGCAGAAGCAATAAAAAAATCAAACGTCATCGCTAAGCGTAACGCCGACCGACACCGCCGCCCCGTCACTTACCAACCCGACGACCTGGTATTACTCGACACTCAAAACCTCCGCCTGCCCATCACCCCAAAACTCCACCCCCGATATTGCGGGCCATTTCGCATCAGCCACATGATCACACCCGTCACCGCCCACCTCCTCCTCCCTGCTGACTGGTACGTCAGCCCGTCGTTCCACGTCAGCCTACTTCGCCCATACGTACCATCCACCAGCCAACTGCCTCGCAACCGCCCGGCCAGCATGACACGACCACCAACAGAACCAATCATCACGCCCGAGAAAATACTGAGCCACCGAGTACGTGACCCACGGGGAGCCCGCAGGATCGATTTCCTGATCCGCTGGAAAGATCGCACACCCACCGAAGACAACTGGGTTCCCCTGGACAGAATCGAAAACCACCCCGTCCTCACAGAGTACTTGCGCAGCCGAAATTTCCGGGATGTACACGCGCTTTCATAAGGAGGGCCTCCTTAGGGGGGGGGGGTAGTGTAAGGAAAATTCCTTTTCCTTACTTCGCGTCCCTACTCAGCGCGTACACCACTGTCCCTGCCAACAGCACCCAACAGTAATCCGTTACCACTCGCGACACTCGCTTCGACACCATTCCCGCCACTGTTCACGACGCGACCCAACCTCACGGCTCGGTTGGTAACCCGCGCTCCGGACCTCCGCCTCGGCATTCCCAACCTCGACGCTAGGCCCGTCGTGCACCCCATTTTCCACACATTACCGTTACTACTGTAGTTTCGCTATATATTCTTCGCTCATGCCTTCGCTCATTTGTACTTTTGCTTCGATAGTGCAATTCTCGCTCGCTCACTCAATTGCACTCGTAACACTTGACATGAAATGAGAGCTGAAATGGCTCCCCTGAGTAACCATCATGTACCTATGCCCTTGTCATGTAGACCACAATACAGCGCTTGGTGGAAGATCCAGCCGCCAACTGAAGGGTTCGTCATTCCTCGTCGACTCCAGTCCAGCATGCTCCCCTCAAGCTGACGAGGACGCTGAAATCTGTCAGCGTGCACCTTCTCCTGTCACCGAAATATCACAACATTCGCCCGCATTGTTTCGCCGCAGCACGGCATGTTACACAGAAATCATCGCACACTTCGCTGACGCGGAAGTGAAGCATTTTACGTCGAATTTGACGGGTCTCCGTTCGATTTGACGCTACTCGCTGTCATCTCCAGGTCGGTTCGGCTTTGCTGGAGATTATGTTTTAGGGCATTTATCTTAGCGGTAACACTCATGGAGCTCGAACGCACGCGAGGTAAGCCACGTTTCCAAATCGTAACAGAGATGTCTTCTCCTCGCCACCATGGTAACCAGCATTGCCGAGATGGTCAACATTATTGCCTGAATGGTAATGAACAGTGCATCCGGAAATCCTGGCTGGTAACTTCGCGTTCCAACCAAACTGTACACCGTACAAGTCAGGTTTGACTCAGCAAAACGAAACTGACTGTCCACGTATACACCCACAGAATGCGCAATTGTGTTTATAATACCAGCGCTTACAATCCCAGACAGTAAAACCATGAAATGCAAACTTGTAATCCGTAACAAAAAAAAAAACATACAATCATATAGCCTTAATTATAGATTCTTGCAGGTGTTGTTAGTGGTATCAAAACGGTTTTATGCGCTAAGCCATGGTTCTCTGTGCTAGAACCTTTTTCTCCCAGGAACTTGCAGGAACTTGGCAGGAACACAAACCCTTTCTCCCAGGAACTCCCAGAACCTCCTACCACTTGGCTTCCTCTCAGAGTTCTTTCTTGCACAAACCAGCAACGCTGCAAGTGTAATTTGTGCTACATTTTTTTTGCATCTTGTCGAGCCAATTGGACAAGCAACTTGAGGTCTGCTACTTTCATGGATGTCTCAGGGGACTTTCATCTGCTTGCTAGGTGCCGTATGATGCTCCCTGCTTCGGAGTCCCTACCGAGGATCCCTTCGTTTCACTGCTGTTTTTACATCCTTGATTTAGGAGCTTCTGACACAGATTGAAAGCTTACCCGAAGACCGAGATCAATAAAATAAATCCTTCCGGCTATGGCGGAGTTTCTACTCCAAACGTACGTTTGTGTTATTTAGGGTTGCGAGTTTTTAAATGCTTGTTGTGGGAATGAATTTAAGTTCAATGCACCGTGACTGACCTGGTTTGTAATCCGGTGGTTTGGCAGATCTGAAATCGATGGGAGCGACTCGCCACCAATGCACATTCAAGCTGAGGTCAACGTGCCAATCCAGTCGCCGTTTGCTGCTTCTACTACTAGTACATCCCAAAGTAATGCAACCGCTGCTGGCTGTCCGCCACAACGCGATTACAACGCCGCGGCCGCGGCCGGTGCAACCACGACGGCATGGCGACCCTTGGCGTCTTTCACGCAGGTGCTGCAGTCCGTTTCCCCGGCCTATCAGCTCAGGCAAAGGCCTGCCGGCAGCATGATTCATGATACTCATCATCAGGAGCACGTCATGACTAATGATGACCCGGAGGCGGGCAGTAGCGGCACCACCAGTCATGTAAACCATGTGCATGGTAACAGCCTTGATGGGAATTTGAGGCCAGAAATGGAATGGGATGGTGAGCAGCAGCAGCAGCAGCAACAGCAGCAGCAGCCAATCATCGCTTCTATGCTGATGCTGCAGCACTACCAGAATCCTGGAGGCTTGCCCACTGGCTGGAGGGACCACTTCCCCTCAGTCATCTCGCAACAACAGCATTTCTTCTCGTGCATCTCCCAGCGACAGCAACATCCCGTGTGCATGCACGATCCACGCTCCTCGTCTAGTAATCATCCTGGTCATCCCATTCCTCGCCCATCAGGAGAGCCCTTCAGGCCGGTTGTCTACTCTGGAGCTGCTACTACAGCGCATGAGAGCACCGGAGTCCTGGGAGCTCCATCTATTCCTGCTGACGCAAACCAAGATGTTTCGGCACGCGCAGTTGCCGCCCACGGCGAGGTTCTAGGAGCACCAATTTCAGTACCAGAACGCCACCAGCAGCAGCCAGCCTCCTGTTACTCTGCCTCTGCTTCCCCTGCGATTGCATTTCCTGCCGCGTTTCAGCCTAGAGGTCTGGCCATTTCGTCTGCAGCAGCTGCTGGCATGCTGCCCATCGGTCAAATGGGATCAGCTGTTGGGGTTGGTGGTGCTGCCTCTAGTACAGCCACAGCTGTTTTTCAACAGCCCAATGTTCAGCTTCCCGGGTTTCAGCTGCCCGGGAGGCCTCGGCCGCCACCACCGGTCATCACGCACACGTGGATGGGGCGGACGCCGCCTCAACCTGCCGCCTCGGCCTGCTCCCCTGCTGCTACTGCTGCTACGACTGCTACTGCTGCTACGGCTTTTACTGCAGCTACTCTGGCCACTGCTGCTGTTGCTGCCACTGCTGCCATTGCCCCCACTGCTCCCATTGCTACTGCTGGTACTGCTATTGCTGGTACTGCTTCTACTGCTAGTTTTCCCACATTCGTTCTTCCCACGGCTGCACCTGGCAACGGTTCGTTTGAGGATGACGCGGTATCTGCATCGTCATCGTTTCCTTACCCTGATGGGTTTGGCGGAAACACTGTTCCAACCGGTACTGGTGGTGGTGTGGCTTCAGGGCGTGGCGGCAGTGTGGCACCAATGGCAGCAGAAGTAGCAGCAGCAGCTGATGTTACTTCTGCTGCCATTGCTGCTGATATGGCAGCAGGTGTGATGGCCGCAGTTTACGGTGTTGCTGCTGCACCCCAGGCTGGGGCTGCTGCTGCTGAAAGTTGTGGTGGTGCAATGGAGATGGATTCTCACCATGCTGGCACTGCTGACGATCCTGATGATGCTGACAGTTGTGACGATTCAGACTCTGCTGCTTCTGAGAGGGCAGCTGGGCAGCACAGCACGGGCCAAGATGGGTCAGACGCACGGTAATGGAGCAGCTTGTTGCCTTACAGGTCGACATTCGTTGCCTCTGTGCTCGTTGCCTCTGTGCTCGTTGCCTCTGTGCTCGTTGCCTCTGTGCTCGTTGCCTCTGTGCTCGATGCCTCTGTGCTCGTTGCCTCTGTGCTCGTTGCCTCTGTGCTCGTTGCCTCTGTGCTCGTTGCCTCTGTGCTCGTTGCCTCTGTGCTCGTTGCCTCTGTGCTCGTTGCCTCTGTGCTCGTTGCCTCTGTGCTCGTTGCCTCTGTGCTCGTTGCCTCTGTGATCGTTGCCTCTGTGCTCGTTGCCTCTGTGCTCGTTGCCTCTGTGCTCGTTGCCTCTGTGCTCGTTGCCTCTGCGCTCGTTGCCTCTGTGCTCGTTGCCTCTGTGCTCGTTGCCTCTGTGCTCGTTGCCTCTGTGCTCGTTGCCTCTGTGCTCGTTGCCTCTGCGCTCGTTGCAGCACAGGTCTGTGTGTCGCAGCAGGTCGCCACACCAGCTGCATTGGAGTGTCTTCCAACCCAGTAGCACCAGCTCAATCTGAGTCGCTTATAAGAAAACTTCCAAGCACGTAGTGGAATATAGCAGCTTTCAGTCAGGCAACACCAGCAGTGCTGCAACTACACCAGCAGAGCCATGACCTCAGCCAGGCTAGCAGCTGGTCTGAAGGGGGGGGTGGGGGAGTGGCGGAAGAGGGTAGACGTGGCGGAAAAAACTGATGTGGCAGTGAGTGACGTGACATGGCAAATGAGTGGTGGGAGAGCAATGTGATGTGGCGGGAGAGCGATGTGATGTGGCAGGAGAACAATGTGACGTGGCTGATTGCAGCACTTACGGTGAGCAGAGAGAGAAGGGAGGACCAGTGGAGGGTGACAGGGACAGACCTGGCAGATGGGGAAGGTGGAAAGAATTATGGGTTACAGAGGGGTGTAATGTGGTGACGTGGGGTATGCTGATTCTGATGGCATAGTTGACTCACGCATGGTTGAAAAATGCTGTTAGCCGGAATATAATAAATAAATAAATACACTTATAAAGAAATTTTGGAGACGCGTCAATGTCCACAACGACCCACTGGAGGGTGGTGGGAGCCCCAAAGGCAGCGGCTGCGAGGGCTGCAGCTTAAGCACCTGGTGGTGAGGCAGAAAAGGGAAAGAAAGAGAACAAGAGAGGTCGGGGGGGGGAGGGGGGGGGGGGGGGGGTGGAAGAGCAAGAGAGGGATGGATGTGAGTTGGTGCACATGCGCGTGTGTATTGATGTGAGGAAGAGGAGGGGGACGGGGATTATAAGTGGGATACACAAGGTAGGGAAGTCATTTACCGATGCATGTCAGGCCGATGGCAGTGGTGATGTGAGGAGGAGGAGAGGGACGGGGAAGATGAGAGGTAGTATACGGAGGAGGTAAAAGAGTTAGGGGAGTCATTTACCGATGCATGTCAGGCCGATGGCAGTGGCGATGTGAGGAGGAGGAGAGGGGCCGGGAAGATGAGAGGTAGTATACGGAGGACGTAAAAGAGTTAGGGGAGTCATTTACCGATGCATGTCAGGCCGATGGCAGTGGCGATGTGAGCAATGAGGTGCATGAGTTGACCTCCGGGCTGCACGAAAGGAAGAGGCACAATCAGCCGTCATACCACATGATGCCACATCAGACGATGTCATGCCACATCAGACGCTGTCATGCCACATCAGTTCACAGACACGCACAATCAGAGCCAGGAGATTTAGAAGAGAAATGTGAAGCTTTCAAGAGAGCTACCACATTCAGCTGCTAACATGGCAACACGCTGACATGGCAACACGCTGACATGGTGACATGCAAGCAGGGAATCACCTGCATCACCTGGTGGCACGCAAGACAGGGACAGGAGATAAGAGGGTGGGAGAGGAGTGGAGAGGTAAGAAAAAGGATGGGAAGGAGAGAGGGAAAGGCGGAGAGAGGGAGAGAGGGAAGGCGGAGAGAGGGAGGAAGGGAGAGGGGGGGAAGGGAGAGAAACGATCAATTGGAGAGAGATGTAGGAGGGAATGGAGCCGTGAGAATGAGATGATGGAAAGGGAATAGAGGGAATGAGGCACATGGAAAATCGAGCTTGCTACCTTGGAACGGCATCATTTTTTTTTTTTTTTTTTTTTTTTTTCATTCTTGACTCACAGGCAGAATAAGACATCTGAGTTTTGAAGTCATCAAGCCGGAATGTGGAACAGACACGCATGTGGACTTGACACGTCAGCGGCTCACTCGTTAAATCCACTCCCCAGACGTGGCAGCAGCCACTTTAGTCACTACGCTCAGCAAGGGCTGACGTGGACTCCACGTAGCTTCGTGGCAGTGGCCACTCGAGCCATATCGCGACCGTAACAACGCGGCTTGGGGCGAGTCGCTAGGAGATTTCGGAGTGTTCTACTATTGGGAACCAGTAGTCTGGTTTCGGCGGGAATTTCTGGGATTGCTGCTACTACCAGAATTATAAGCTTGCGCTGAGCGAGCTAAAATTGAGGCAAGCACGCGTGGGGCCCATTCGCAGTTGCTTTGCAACCAGGTGTCAGTCAGCTGACTGGCACCTCTCGAAATCAGGTGATGGCTCGTGTTTTGTCACGGTCATGCACGGTTACTTGTGTTTTGTCACGATCTAAAGCTCTAACAGAATCAATCTGGTGTTTTGGGAACCTTGGAATTTGCAAAAATCTGGATCCCAACCACAATTTTTGACGTTGAAACTCGAAGGCCCCACCCGGGCAGCAAGTGAGTACTGTATTTTTTCGGTGACTCGAAGCTCAGCTCATCATGAAAACACGCCCTCATTCCTAAGCCCAATCCTAAAATCCTGATGGAATTTCGTCACCGTCACGCTCCCCGTCCACTTTGAGGCTGTCCGTTCCGTTAGTTATAATCGGCTGTCGTTGACGCTCACCGTCATCTACCAGCCGGGAGGGACTCACGCGTTCGATGAGTCTAAACTCCACCGACGTTAGCGCGATTAAAGCTCGCGTCTACGGTTGGAATCCGGTAACAGCAGAGTTTGTCGCAAAGCACACCAAAGCAAGGGGTGGTTTGGGAAAGTTGGCTGTCGCACACTTCCCCGTGCACACCAAGCATTTACAACTCTCGAAAATATGAGACTCTGAACTCAACGTTGACAGAACCCGGGACCAAACCTGTCCCCCTTGGCTCGTTTTCCACCCAAACCAACCCACCCTGGTTTGTTTTGGCCTCGACTGTTTGGGAGTTCGCTGTGTTTTTTTCACCCACTCGTCAAATATTTCGTCATTCGTTACCCAATCACAGACGGGCAAACCCAACCAAGTGTTAAAAGGTTGGAAATCTCAACACTTCGCATACCGTAGATCGCAATAGTCGGTTTAGGATATGAGTAGGCCTGTCATTGCAGCTGCAGCTACTATTTGTCATTGATGACTATCACGATATGGCGTAGTAAGGCTCCGAAGGATTCCCGTGTTCCCGTTTGAGAGAATCATGAAACCACCACCGCGAGCAACGAGGAGGTCGAGAGCGAAAGCAGAAGAGGAGGAGGTGGGTGCGACGCGTGTCCGCCGCGAATCGGCGATAATCAAGCGAGGAGAATCAAAGGAGGAGGAAGCTGATTTACGGGCAGGAAGTGATTTGGTTGCAAAATTGGAGGGTGCGACGCGTGTCCCTCGAGAATCGGCGATAGTCAAGCGAGGAGATTCAGAGAAGGTAGAGGAAGCTAAGTTACGGGCAGGAAGCGGTTCGGCGGCAGAGTTGAGCGACTCCGATTCCGCGAATTCCGAGGGCGCTGACAAGTACGTTACGGATAGGGACACTGACGGTGACGCTGACGTGGACGCCAGTACGGATGCTGACGGGAACGCTGACGGGGACGCTGACGGGGATGCGGCTGCGCGAGGCGGTGCGGGGGGCATGACAGCCTACGAGCAGCTGAGAGCGGATCGCATGGCGAGAAACGCGGCGCTGCTCGCGGCGCTCGACGTGAGCGCTGCAGCGAGGCGGCTCAAGTCGACCGCGCAGCCGCAACGACGACTCGCGCCCTCTCAAGGTTGTAACACCTGCTCGGTTTTCAACCGCAGCTAGAATATGATTGTTCTGCGTGAGATGTCGCGGAACATTTTTGAGGCGCCTAAAAAATCGCAGCGAGGCGCAACAACGACTCGCGCCCTCTCAAGGTTGTAATACCTGCGTGACGTGAGAATATGATTGTTCTGAGATGTCGTGTGAATCGAGACAGTTTTTTTGCGGCTCAAGTCGACCGCGACTCAAAAACAGCCGCAACGACGACGGCTCGCGCCCTCTCAAGGCTGTGATACAATACGTGCGTGAGAATATGATCGTTCTGAGATGTCGCGGAACAAGCTTAGTTTTCCTGACGCAGGAGCAACCACTCTCGACCTTTGAAGGTGGAAGTACCCGTTTGTCGGCACCCATTTGTCAGCACCCATTTGGTTTGCTGTGGTGTGCTGTGGTGTGTTGTGGTGTGCTGTGGTGTACTGTGTGCATTCGGCGTTTGGATTCTTCTTCGTGTCTGGCGTGTTTAGCTGTGCTAGTCGGGTGATAGTGTGGGTTGGCAAGGTAATTGGTGTGGTTCGGCACGGTGATAGTGTGGTTGGCAGTGGTATTGGTGCGGTTCCGCACGGTGATTGTTTGGCCCGGCCACCTCCTTACCTAGCTTGTGTTCTGCGTGTGCTCGTCATTCTCTCTCATTCAGGGACTCGGCGGTCGTTTCGTGTTCAGACAACGACAGGGGGGGGAGGTGGTGGTGGTGGTGACAGGGGCAAGGGGGGAGATGAAGTGGAGGATGAGGAAGAGGAGGAGGGGGGTGAGGGGGAGGAGGAGGAATTGGGGAAAGACGGCGAGTATATTCCAGATGAGATTGCAGATGATGATGATGGTGATGAGGAGGATGAAGAGAGGGGTGAAGGGGAGGAGGAGGGGGAAGATGAGGAGATGGAGGGAGGGGAGGGTGGTGGTGGAGGCAGCAGTGGGAGGAGGAGAGGACGACAGTTGGGGAAACGGGGTGCAGAAAAGCTGCAGCAGCAGCGGGGGAGCAAGCAGGGGAGGGCGATGGAGGAGTTGGGAGCGGTTGGTGCCGGTGACGAGGACGAGGAGCTACAGATGCTGAGTGGGTATCTGAGGTGGTTGCCTTATGAGGGAATGACTTTTGAGGAAACGAGTATTGAGGAAATGACTTTTGAGGCAATTATTAAGGAAACGACTTTTGAGGTCACTCAACTTATATTTCTGAGGTGATCGCACTGATAGTGGATGTAGGCTAGGCGCTACATTTGAGGCGCCTACAAAAACGCCTGAAAACGCCACAGATTGTTTTTTCAGGATTTTTTGTAGGCTCCTCAACACGTTGACTGTTGTTACACATTCTGTTATGAAAACGTTGTTCTGCACTGTAAGGTATGCTATGCCAATGCCAATGCGATACTCTGAAGTGTTCACTTTTGAGTCGTCTCAAAGTCAACTTACTGCATGATGCGGCTGCACTGTCAGGTCAGGTATGCCTTGCCAATGCCATACTCTGAAGTGTTCAAACACGGCAAATTCGTTGGGCTTGTTACTCGTTGTGCTCTCACACTTCAAATCAAATCCATAACGTGGGCATGTTATGCATTGTGCGGTACGATGCCAGACCCAACACACGAGTAATGGGGAGCTTTAAGACACGCCAGAGCCAACACACGCACAGAGTTCACTGCTCCCAATCTGCTCCCAATCTGTTTAGAAATTCCAAAAAAGTGGTTGTGCGGTGCCATGCATGCCAGGCCCCACACACGCACACAATTCACTGCTCCCCAATCTGCTCCCCAATCTGCTCCCCAATCTGCTCCCCAATCTGCTCCCCAATCTGCTCCCCAATCTGCTCCCCAATCTGTGCTTAGTGTTGTCTCTGCTACTGCCTCTGCCTCTCTTCGCGCCTTCCTCCAACCCTCTCCACCTCTTTCTGCCTCTCTCCTCCTCGCTTTGCCTCTCTTACCTATCTCTACCTACCTCTGTCCACCTTTGATTACCTCTGTCTACCTCTCTCCACCTCTCTCCACCCCTCTCCACCCCTCTCCACCCCTCTCCACCCCTCTCTGCCTCAGGCAATCGCCCTGTCACTCTCCATGACTGGAGGAGGTGGAAGGGGAGGAGGAGAGAAGGGTGGAGGAGGAGAGGGAGGAGGAGGAGAGAAGGGTGGAGGAGGAGAGAAGGGTGGAGGAGGAGAGGGAGGAGGGAGGGGTGGAGGCGATGGGAGTGACGCGGGCAGAGGCAGAGGCAGGAGAGGCAAGATCAAGGTGCGTGGAGAGTTGAGAGAATGGGGGTGTTGAGAAGGTGGGAGTGTTGAGAAAGGTGGGAGTGTTGAGAAGGTGGGAGTGTTGAGAAGGTGGGAGTGTTGAGAAGGTGGGAGTGTTGAGAAGGTGGGAGTGTTGAGAAGGTGGGAGTGTTGAGAAGCTTTTCAGAAGTCTTGTGAGACGTAGAGGTGGTGTGTCACTTTTGAGAATTCTGCTCAGAATACTGCTGGGATGCTTGTGTCGCTTTTGAGCATTTTCAAAGGGACACACGTGTGTGCCCTGGGACTGGGATTCTCCCTCAGTAGGTGTTCTCATCTCACCCTAAACCCAAGGCCTTCCCTGCATCCCCCCCTCCCCCCCCCTTCCCTTTCCATTCTTCCTGGCAGGCAAAACGGCATCAGAGGCCTTTTGAGGAAGCTCACTGACTGTGAAGTGAACTCCCTCATTCACTCACTCACTCACTCACTCACTCACCCACTCCCTCACTCACTCACTCACTCGCTCAAACACTCTCTCACTCCCTCACTCACTATTACTCACTCCCTCACTCCCTCACTCCCTCCCTCAACCCCTCCCTCACTCCCTCCCTCACTCACTCACTCCTTCCCGGCAGGCGAGGCGGCGTAGGAGCCCGTTGAGGAAGCTCACTGACCCGCTGACTCCTTCATTCACTCACTCACCCACTCACTCAACAATTTCCAAGTCCTTCCCCTGCACTTTTCTCCTTCCTGGCAGGCGAAGCGGCGTAGGAACCCGTTGAGGAAGCTCACAGACTCCGAGGCCGACTCGCTCTACTTCACTCTCGATGGTGCGTAGTGGCTGTCTGCAACTCGTGTTGGTTTTTGAGAATTCTAAAAAACCAGCTCGTGTCGAAGCCCGTTGAGGAAGCTCACAGACTCCGAGGCTGACTCGCTCTACTTCACTATCGATGGTGAGTAGTGGCTGTCTGCAACTCATGTTGGTTTTTGAAAATTCTAAAAAACCAGCTCGTGTCGAAGCCCGTTGAGAAAGCTCACTGATTCTGAGGCCGACTCGCTCTACTTCACTCTTGATGGTGTGTGAGAGAGAGAGCTCCCTGCTATTTCAGAACACACAAGCATGCATGCACAAGCATCCGCGCGCATGCAGCCGACTTGCTCACACCTACTTTGCTCTCGATGGTGTGTGCGTGCGTGAGAGAGACAGAGAGCTGTCTGCTTTCTTGACTTGATACACAGATATGGACACACACACACGCACAGACGTATACGCACACATGGACGAAGAGAAGACAACTGCGCGCACACAGTGCATGCACATAGCCGACTGGCTCTACTTCACTCTCGATGGTGTGTGCGTGAGTGAGAGAGAGAGCTGTCTGCTTTCTTGACTTGATACACAGATATGGACACACACACACGCACAGACGTATACGCGCACATGCACGAAGAGAAGACAACTGCGCGCACACAGTGCATGCACATAGCCGACTGGCTCTACTTCACTCTCGATGGTGTGTGCGTGAGTGAGAGAGAGAGCTGTCTGCTTTCTTGACTTGACACACACACATGTCGACTAAAATGTCATCCCACATGCACACAGCCACGCACACGTGCGCCCGCGCGACAGCATGTGCAAGAGAAGAACACAGGCGGGCACACGATCTGGTTCTTTAGAATTCTCAAACAAACCAGTTGGTATTGCAAGAGAAGAACATGGGCACACAGGCATCACAAGGCCAGCTGGATCAGATCAGAGACACAGCTCTCCTTGATCAAGGAAAGGTCACTCCCACATTGTTATTCTATGTTCCCCTCGCACCATCTCCTTTTACAGGTCGCATAACAGCATCTGGCGTGGCTGGCTGTAGGGCTCTCTTAGTTCTCGGCAAAGTCACTTTCACAATGCTAGTCTGTTTGTGTTCCCCCTCCCAACCTTACCTTTTCCTCCGAGCCTATCTGGCCAATGGTGAGGGGCACATAACAGTAGATGACGTGGCCAGGCTGGCCGCAGCCCATTCTTCTGTATCCACCTTGTGAACGATTTTTTAGAATCCTCAAAAATAGTATCCACCTCTCCCTCCACCATCTTATTCCCCCGATTCAACCCCCTTCAACCCCCCTCACCGCACTCCCTAACCATTCGATAATCTATCCAGCCAATGGTGAGGGGCGCGTAACAGCAGCTGACGTGGCCAGGCTGGCAGCAGTGCACTCTCTTCGATCGAGGCAAAGTCATTCACGCATTACTGCTCTGTGTCCCCCCTCGCACGCTTGTCACTGTGTCCCCCCTCGCACGCTTGTCACTGTTTCCCTCCTCTCACGCCTTCCACTTCCTCCCCCCCTATCCAGCCAATGGCGAGGGCCACATCACAGCAGCTGACGTGGCCAGGCTGGCAGCGGTGCACTCTTTGATCGAGGCAAAGTCATTCACGCATTACTGCTCTGTGTCCCCCCTCGCACGCTTGTCACTGTTTCCCCCCTCGCACGCCTTCCACTTCCTCCCCCCCTATCCAGCCAATGGCGAGGGCCACGTCACAGCAGCTGACGTGGCCAGGCTGGCAGCGGTGCACTCTTTCCTGTGGAGCGAGCAGCAGATTGAGGACATGGTTACACTCTTCGGCCAATCACAGGTGGGCTTTCACCTTTGAGTTGATCCGAATGTCTTTGGCTTGTGAGTCGAGTCAAATGTCATTCTGTGGAGAGAGCAGCAGATTGAGGACATGATTACACTGTTCAGCCAATCCCAGGTGAGTTCTGGATTTTGGCTTTCGAGTCGTCTTATCAGTCATCCTGAGCAGCAGATCAAGGACATGCCCACACTGTTCAGCCAATCAGGAGGGCTGTGACTTTTGGTCTTCGATTCAACTTAGTTTGCTTTAAAGTGGACGCAAAAGTCATTCTGTGAAGAGCAGCAAGTTTAGAACAGACACTGTTCAGTCAATCACATGTGCTGTTTGGAATAAAAACAGACTTAGGGTCTGACCTCATTACAGGTAAGAAGTCAGGTCTTCTCTTCTTCAAAGTCACGTGTGAGGTCCTCCAAAGGATTGCTGCTCACCGCTTGACTAGTGCCTCAACCTTCTTCAACGGGCGGCTCCTGACGTGCTTCACCTCACGTCTGGCGTAGCTCGGTGTTTTCTTCATGTAATCGCTCCACCTGCGTCCATAATGTTTTCATATCGTTCTTCATTTCTGCAACTTGCTCCATCAAGTGTTGAAAGCTGCTTGGTCCATCTGTCGTAAGCTAAGCAACGTGTTTTATACATGCTATTAATAATTGCTCTAACACCGTGATTGCCTAATGTTGTTGATTCGTTTGTGGCCATTACAATTCCTCCAGCCTGATGGCGTTTTTCAGCAATACATCATACCTGTGTTTTGTTTGTTAACCTCGCTCGCATCACATCCTGCCAATAGTGTTCATATCGTTTGAGGTGATCTTGTTTTCATATCGTTCTTCATTTCTGCAACTTGCTCCACCAAGATCACCTCGAACATGATTTTTCCTACTGTTTTTTTTTCTTTCTACAGTAGTGCCACTGTTTTTTTTATACCTTTGAAACAGGTAGAACATCAAATGGCTCTTTCCCTATCAAATTTGTCATCATTTCCTTGCAGGGCAACGAGATGGGAATGCTGGATTTTCGACACGTTATGTCACAATGTGGACGGCTTTAGATGGGAAAATATCACTACACCATCTTATATCGTATCCGCATCCCATTATCGTACTAGGGTACATTCCTGCCTTGACATGTCTTCGTTTTAGGCGCACAATCGATTGTGACGCGCAAAAACTGCATATATTGTCATGTGACAGGTGGTGTAATTTACCTTGGTTAGCATGATTCACACTGCTGTCGCGATTGTTGCATAATGCCACACCACCGTCCTCATGCACGCGGCTCCAAACGTATGTGTCTCGGAGGACACGACTGAATGCACCTGGACAACCCCCAACCTGCAAATTTCACGCGGGAAAAACAGGCACGCTCTCGGTCAGGCGCGCCAATGCAAATTTGGATTTAGGGTCACACATGCCAAAAAAAAAAAGAATCCCGCCACAGGATCTGCCCACTGATCTCCTCCAACCCCTTCATGCTCATCCATCAACCACCACCAACACACCGTTTCCTTTTTGCTGCTCATCCTGCACTCGTCGCGTCTCTAGTAGGCAGCCATGGCACGGAAGCGTAAGTCTGGCGACCCCGAAGGCCAGGACCCATGCCCCCAAGACTTTAATGAAATTCCTTGCATCGGCTTGCGTAACGAGCAGATAGCTAGCAGAAGAAGGCCCCCTTGTCGTGCCCCCTGGTCGTGCCCCCCCGGCCGCACCTAGTCGGAGGGAGCCATCTCAAACTCCTCGTGCTGGACCTTCACGCCCTCGTCGTGCTAGCGACCGCATCGCCACCTCCCGCAATGTCGAGGTGGAGGACGACGATGAAGGCGATGATTCAGACAAAAATGACTACGATGTCGGGACCGACGATGACGATGACGACGACGGTGACGCTCTCAAGGAGGACGATGACGAAGAAGAAGATGAGGACGACGATGTTACCGAGGAAGAGACCGACCCGCAAATGTCGGGGACTCGTCGCAACGCACCGAGCACCACAAGTGGGGCGAAGGAAAAGGGCATAGTGCCGGCACGTGGGCCTCCAGGCGGTCAGCTACTGGACCCGTCCCGAAAAGCATATGGTCGCGGCGTGAGAACACTATCTTTGTCGCCGCCCGCTGGTTCACTAAGGATGAGTTCAAGCCACTTGTTGGTAAGCAGGGCTTGTCAAACTTATATGACATAGTCTGTGTAGGCTGTAGTGGGGTAGTCGATATGGGGTACAACACTTTAGGGTTTCCTACTTGTACTTCTCATCCTGCTCAATGCAATCATTCCTCGTTCTGTTCTTCACATGGTTTCAGAGCAGGTTCCCTAGTGGGAACGATTTTTTTAAGGGCCCACCACGATTTTTTTTTCCTGCCCTGCCCGAAGCGCGCTGCCGCGCCTGCATGCCCTGTCGCGCGCCTCGCGCCTGCCTCACATGCGCCCTTGCGCCTGCCCTGCTGTGCGCCGTCGAGCGCCTGCCCTACCCGCGCCATCGAGCGCCTGCCCTTGCTGCAGCCGCCGTCGCGCGCCTGCCCTACCCGCTGTCGAGCGCCTGCCCTACCTGCCGCCCGTCGAGCGCCTGCCCTGCCGCCGCCCGTCGCGGCCCTGCCCTACCCGCCTGTCGCGCCGTCGCGGCCCTGCCCTACGCGCCCGTCGTGCGCCTACCCTGCCGCCGCCCGTTGAGCGCCGGCCCTACCCGCCCGTCGAGCGCCTGCAGCCGCCTGTCGAGCGCCTGCCCTGCCGCCGCCCGTCGGACGCCTGCCCTACCCGCGCCAGTCGCGCGCCTGCCCTACCCGCCGCCGGTGGCACCTGCCCTACCTGCCCCTGGTGAGCACCTGCCCTACCCGCGCTACCCGCGCACCTGCCCTACACGCGCGCTGCTGCGCCTGCCTGCCTGCCGAGCCGCGCCGCCCAGCCGAGCCGCGCCGCCCAGCCGAGCCGCGCCGCCCATCCGAGCCGCGCCGCTCTGCCGAGCCGCGCCGCTCTGCTGAGCTGCGCCGCCCTACCCTACTGAGCCGCGCTGCCCTGCCCGCGCTGCTCCTACTGCTACTGCTGCTACTTCTACTCCTATTGCTACAGCTGTTACTGCTGTTACTGCTACTACTGCTGCTACTGCTGCTACTGCGGCTACTGCTGCTACTGCTACTACTGCTGTTACTGCTGCTACTGGCGGTGGCCAGATGCAGCTCCAGCGACGTCCACGCGAGTCCCTCACGCCCCAGCAGCTTTGTGAGTGGTACGCTAGTTGGGGTTGTGGCGGCGGCCGTAGTGGCAGTCGCCCTGGAGCTGGTCAGGCGGGAGTTTCTGGCAGTGGCCAGATGCAGCTGCAGCGGCGTCACCGTGAGACCCTTACGCCCCAGCAGCTTCGTGAGTGGTACGCTCAGAGTAGAGGGTCTCGGAGTACTGTTCGCTGCCCGTACGTCATTCGCACAGGTGATCGGGCTGGTCAGACTTGCAGGACGATTGGTCACACACATTCCCGCTGCTTCGCCTGTCTGAGCGACGCCTGGCGTACCGAGTTTGGCGACGAGGCTGAGCTCCCCAGCTGGGTGGAGCTGCTTAGGCAGAGGGTGAATATCTTTGCTCTTGACTATGATGCTATCCTCACTGCCATGTATGCATTGCCTACTAGTGCTGAGGCTGCTGTTCTAGGTGCTAGTGAGGCTACTGCTCTAGGTGCTAGTGAGTCTGCTGCTCCAGGTGCTGGTGAGTCTGCTCTCTCTGGTACTGTGCCTGCTGAGGCCTTGCACACCTTCACACTTGACTCAGGTGCTTCCCACTCCTTCTTTCGCGACAGCACCACACTCACGCCGCTCAGTCGGCCGGTTGCAGTCTCCCTGGCGGACCCCTCTGGGGGCCCGGTCCTTGCGCACTCCTCCACGGTTCTGCCATGTCCGGCAGTTCCGTCTGGCTCACTGTCAGGTCTTCACCTCCCCTCATTCTCTACGAACTTGGTGAGTGGAGCTGACCTCCAGGATGTGTGGGTTGATCAGTTCACTCCTGGAGGTCAACGTGTGACCCACTGTACGTGCTCCCGGACTGGTCGGCACCTGGCCACGTTCACCCGAGCGCCTGGCTCGAGTCTGTACACACTGACTACTGTGTCACCTCAGGTAGCTGCGTCTGAAAGTGCGTCAGGTCAGCTAGCGCCCCCCTGCTCGTGTCGCGCTTTGTCGCACCAGACCGTCCTTTGGCACCACCGTCTTGGTCACCCCTCGGTGCAGCGCCTCCGTGACATGCATCGACGTCTCCTTGTCTCTGGACTCCCAGAGACTCTGCCTCCTCTCCTACCCTCGCCTGCCCCTCCCTGCCTTCCCTGTGTCGAGGGGCGGCAGCGCGCCGCTCCTCACTCCTCCTCGTTTCCCCCGACGACTGCTCCCCTGCAGACCCTCCACATGGACGTGTGGGGCCTAGCCCGCGTCCGTGGACAGGACCGCGAGCGGTACTTTTTGCTGGTAGTTGACGACTACGCGCGTTACACCACGGTCTTCCCCTTGCGCACCAAGGGTGAGGTCCCTAATGTTTTGATCCTTTGGATCCGCGCTGCACGTCTCGAGCTCCGCGAGCGGTTCGAGACAGACTTTCTCGTCCTGCGTCTGCACTCTGAAAGAGGTGGTGAGTTTGTCTCTGACTTTCTGCGGGACTTTTGTCGTGGGGAGGGCATTCGCCAGACGTTCACGCTCCCGGCCTCACCGCAGCAGAATGGGGTTGCTGAGCGCCGCATTGGCTTAGTCATGGAGGTCGCTCGTATCTTCATGGTCCATGCGGCTGCCCCCCATTTTCTGTAGCCGTTTACGGTCTGATACGCTGCGCATCAGCTCTACCTCTGGCCCCGTGTCTCCTTCCCGGAGACCTCGCCCACCCTGCGGTGGACGGGGAAGGTTGGCGATGCGTCGGTGTTCCGGGTCTGGGGTTCTCGTACCTTTGTCCGCGATACTACCGCGGACAAGCTCTCCGCCCGCGCTATTCCCTGCGTCTTCCCTGGCTTTGTCCCTGACGCGCCTGGCTGGCAGTTTTACCACCCCACCTCGCGCCGTGTCC